ACAGAGCCCGATGCGGGGCTTGAACTCATGAACCATGAGATTATGACCTGAGCTGAAGTTGGATGCCCAACCGACTGAGCCACCCAGGCGCCCCTACTTTTAATTTTTTTGAGGAGCCATTTTCCACAGTAGAATTTGAAATTTTAAAAAATTAGTTGCCAACAAAAAACATCTGGCTTCTGTTCAGAGATTGGAGGTCAGACATCACTGGTCCTGAACCAGCCTCATCAGGCCTCCTGAGGGACACCAGCCCTACCAGGCAGTGCCCCTTCCTTAGAGGTCTGGGACACAGCTCTGTGGGACCCTCTCCTGAGCTTCTTGGTTGTAAATCTCAAACCTGTTTCTTTTGTTCTCCAGTCCTAGGCGTTACCTATTTCTCTCTCTTAGGCTCTGTGATACCTCAGTGACCCCTTTTGCCTTTTCAATCCACCTGTGCCTGTTTAACATATCCCCTATATTAGATCTCTCTATTGAAACACCTGGTGTGGTTCCATTTTCCTGACTGGCTCTGGCTGGTACCACTTAGCTGCTGTTCCTGCCTGGGTGAAGCTGGACAGCAGCTGACCCCTTTGGTCAGGTATCAGCTTTCCTGGTTGCCTCACCCCAATTTCCCATTTTTCTACATCTGGCTGACTTGGCCTGCCTGACTTAAGAGATCTGATGTAGGCCCTGCTCTGATCAACGACTTTCCAATAAGATGTTCTTATTGAGAACCTACTCTGTGCCAGAGACTGTGTAGAAGACTTTATGCATCAACTATACTTGAATAATAAAAACAAAAGTAAAAACAAACAAACAAACAAAGGACTGCCTTCAAATAAAATAATATAAACCTGAAAAAACCTCCAATTACAAGGTTTTTTTTTTTTTAAGTTTATTTATTTATTTTGAGAGAGAGCAAGAGCAGGGGAGAGACAGAATCCCAAGCAGGCTCAGCTCTGTCAGCAAGGAACCTGACATGGGCTTGAACTCACAAACCGTAAGATCAAGACCTGAGCCAAGATCAAGAGTTGTTGTTGTTTTTTTTTTTAATTAAAACACATTTTTAAGTTTAATTTAGTTTTGAGAGAGAAACAGAGAGAAGCAGGGGAGGGGAAGAGAGGGGGACAGAGGATCTGAAGCAGACTCTGTGCTGTCAGCAGCAAGCCTAATGTGGGGCTCGAACTCATGAACTGTGAGATCATGACCTGAGCCGAAGCCAGATGTTTAACCAACTGAGCCACCCTGGCGACCCGGGAGTTGGGTTTTAATAAAACGTTATGATTTTTAAAAATCATGGGGTTTTAATAAAGTAATTATTATAATATATGAGACATAAAACTAGGCAACTAATAAAAATCCTTTATGGATGATTTTTTTAAAGTTTTATTTATTTAAGTAATCTCTACACCCAACGTGGGGCTCAAACTCATGACCCCAAAATCAAGAGTCACATGATCTTCCAACTGAGCCTGCCAAGCACCCCATGGATGATTCTTTAAAAAAAAAAAAAGATCTTATGCAATGATCTCATGTAGTCTTTGCCACAACACCGTGAGGTGGGCACTGCCGCGATCCCCATTTTACAGTTGAGGACACTGAGGCCGGGACAGAGAAGGTCTTGACCAAAATCACAGCCAGGCAGTGCCAGAGCCAGCCACAAAGACCCAACCTCCTCATAAAATGAGGCTATAACCACACCATCCTCAAGTCAGTAAGTTCATATTTCTATCACGAAAAGTTGTGTCGTATTTGTACATTTGATAAACACCTGACTTGTACATTGCAGACTCTCTTTAGAAGCAAGTTAAGTTGTACACAAATGCCTGAAATCAAAACCTCACAAACCATTTTTCATTCTCCTCATCTCTTAAATGGAAATCCTGGGGGTGTCTTGGTGGCTCAGTTGGTTAAGCGTCTGACTTCAGCTCAGGTCATGATCTCGTGGTTCGTGGGTTCGAGCCCTGTGTCAGGCTCTGTGCTGACAGCTCAGAGCCTGGAGCCTGCTTTGGATTCTGTGTCTCCCTCTCTCTCTGCCCCTCTCCCACTCCCACTCTGTCTCTCTCTCAAAAATAAATGTTAAAAAAATTTTTTAATAAAAAAAATAATAAAATGGAGACGCTACCTCATGGGGTTTCCAAGAAGATTAAATGATGTGATATACATGAAGTACATAGCTCCATACTCAGCAGGTAAGAAGTGCTGAACAGATGGTAGCTATTGATATTATTACCTAGATACAGAGGGATTATCATGCAAAGCATGAAAAGCACAGTGGCTGGAAAAGATGCATATGGAAATATCTTTATGATATAATGGAAAAATCCTTATTATAAGTGCAAGAGAAAAGGGTCCAAAGTAAAAATAAATTACTCGTGCACTAAAGGCTCATGGGAAACACACCCAAACATCAACCGTGGTTGATTTTGGGCGCTGGGATTTGGGGTAATGTTTTTTTTCTAATATAAATGTTAAAGAGGTAATAAATGACTAAAAAAGAAGCACCAGGCTTTTAAAATTTATCTACAGATGCAATTGCAACCCTATTAGAATTCCTACTGGCTTCTTTGCAGAACTGGACAAGCTGCTCCTAAAACTTGCATGGATCCAGGACAACCAAACAGCCTTGAAAAAGAGGAGTAAAGGGGGAAGACTATGCCATGGGTGTCCATGTCAGGGTCAGGCTCAGAGCTGAATGTCGAGAGACAACACAGTTGTGACTATCAAGAACATTCCCAGGGGCGCCTGCGTGGCTCAGTTGGTTAAGCATCCAACTTCAGCTCATGAGTTTGAGCCCCGCGTTGGGCTCTGTGCTGACAGCTCCTGGCTCTGGAGCCTGGTGATCTCTGTGTCTCCCTCTCTCTGCCCCTCGGCCCTCCTGTCTACTCTTGCCTGTCTGTCTCTCTCTCGAAAATAAGTAAACATTACAAAAAAAGTTTTTAAAAGAACATTCCCTACCCGTAGGTCACTATTCTTCTGAAATAATGCCTTAAGCTTCATTGAGAGAGGTGTCTTAGAACACGAGTAGAAAAAAAAGGATGTACAAGTCCTCAGGAATTTAATTCTCTAGTTTCATGGTTTCCCAAAGAAGATTTTTTACCAAACCACAGTGATTTGAGGAAAAAGGGCATTTTCATACAGTACCATTTTCATAAAGCACCATTTATTCATTTAAAACCTTATTTTGCTTCTGATGATAATTTCCCTGCTTTTTTGGTGTAAAACTATTGTTTCTTTCACAAAATGATGTTGAAAGTTGATGTTTTTTGTTGTTTTTATTATCCTCAGTTATCAAGGGAGAGTTGGCAGCCCTCTTCCAACTTTTTATTTTAGTTAATTATTTTTTTTAAGATTTTCCTTTTTTTTTTTTAAATGTTTTTATTTATTTTTGAGACAGAGAGAGACAGAGCATGAGCAGGGGAGGGTCAAAGAGAGAGGGACATGTGTCTGAAGAGACTCCCGCTCTGAGCTGTCAGCACAAGAGCCTCCCAATCTGGGCTTGAAACTCAGACTGTGAGATCATGACTGAGCTGCATTTCTTTAACCGGAATGGAGCCACCCGGCAGGCCTCCCAGATTTTCTCTTTTTTTTAAAGATTGTTTTTAATGTTTATTTTTGAGAGAGAGAGAGGGAGAGAGAGAGAGAGATAGGGAGAGAGAGAGGGGGAGAGGCAAGTGGGGGAGAGGCAGTGAGAGAAGAGGACAGAGGATCCAAAATGGGCTCCCCAAAGGACAGCAGAGAGCCGGATGCAGGCTCAAATTATGAATCCATGAGGACGTGAATTGACCAAAATAAGAGTCATACTTGGGGCCATGTAGGCCGGGTTGCTGTCTGACCAGCCAGGTCACATCTCACTGCCTGTGAGTTCGAGCCTGCTGGCTGGCTCTGGCTGAGGTTTGCATTTGAGCCTGTTTCTGATTCTGTGCCCCCTCTCTGCCCCTCCCCACCCTGCCTCTGTCTCTCTGTCCCAAAAATAAATAAACGTTGAAAAAAAAAAAAATTTAAAAAAAAAGAGTCACACACTTAACCGACTGATCCACCCAGGCACCCCTAAAGGTTTTATTTCTAAGTAATCTCTACACCCAACACAGGGCTAGAACTCACAACCCTAAGATCAAGAGTCCCACACTCCCCGGACTGAGCCAGCCAGGCGCCCCCCTCCTGTCACTTCGTAAAAAATATTCTCTAACTTTGAGAAATCCCAAAGTTTGGGAAACACTGGGAAAAACTGCAGCAGCCTCAGGGCTGCTGTGCCTGGGGTGGGGGCCGAGACTAGCCACACTTTGTAAGGAAGCTCAGAGTAAGGAGAACACAGGCTTGGGTTCGAATCACGGCTCCGCCACTTACTGTAGGAACTCGAACAAGTTACTAAACCTCTTTGAGTCTCTGTTTCGCCATCTGCAAAACGAGGATGATTGACACCTCTCAAAGCTGCTATGAGAATTAAACCAGATAACATATGTGACTGTACCTGGGCCATCAAAAACACTTGAGAAAATATCCTCCAAGAGTCTGTGAGCTCAGTGAAGGTCCCACTTTCCTCTTCTGCAAGTTGAAGAGTTCTCATTTCTTCGGTCGTTCTTTATTTTCTCACTCTGGTTTCTGCTGGGTGTTCTCTAGCTTGTCACTATTGCTCTTGACATGCGAATCCAGATCTGAATACATGCTGTTGGTGTGGACTAGCTGTGTAAAGTAGGATCTGCTGTCACCTCCTTCAATCTAGACTCTGTACCTCCATTTACGAAACCCAAGTTTGCAACAGATTTTTGTGTATGTGTGCTCCTATTTTACTGCTTTGGTATTTGTTGGGCTTAGAGTACCTAACAGCCCCAGATCTTTTCATAGGAATGTTTGTAAAACCCTGTTTCTGAACTTGTGCCATCGAGGGACTTTACATTTATTCCCTTTTAAACCTTATCCAGTAGACAAGGTGCCCTCCCCAACTAGATGGGGTCAAAGGAGACTCCCAGTGTGTTCTCATGCTCAAGAAACCTGAAGGAACATTTAGCTGATTCTTTTTAGTCCAGGGAAGAAAATGTTTATTTGAATCTTGATGGAATCCAAGGCAGCGGGGCTAGTGCTAGGTGATGGGGCTGAGACAAGGTGCTGTGGCTTTAGTCCCTAACATCTCACCTGTATCAGGTTCACCTGGGGGCCTGGCATGATGGTTCCCTGCCTTATGTCAGTGGGCTGTCTGTCTTTCCTTGTTGATTCAAAAGATGAAGAGCCCACCCGGATGCCCTAGGGACTCTAGAGAAATCTGAAGCCCACACAGATTACAGCTTGTAGGGCCCAGGGGTCTCCTACTGTCTCCTGAGAGCAGTGACATCCTAGAATCCTCCTGCTTGATCCAGGTAACTTGGAGGACATAGGCCTGGCACCTTCCCTCTGCATGTCATCCTGGCAGCTGGACTGCATGCCAGTGCTGCCCGAATGATACTTAGGCCTGGGCCGGTGCCAACGTTCAGACTACATGGAAGGAAAAGAGCTCTCTTTATTGCTCTAGCCTAGCCCGCCCACGTGTCTCCCAGAACGTGGCTCTGTCCTTGTGCACTCGGGAGACGCAGTGGCCATCATGGTGGGGCTCAGCCTGGCTGTCGGCCCTGCCTCGGCCTCAGTCGGTCTTCCTGAACCCTGGAAAGCAAAGCCCGCAGGATAGCCTGGGATTCTGAAGGTGGCAAGGCCTCATTTCTACCATCACCCCCAGATGCCCAAATATCTCTCACAGTTGGGATAATGCAGTCACCCTAGAAGGCACAGGTTTCCAGGAATTAAATGGGTTACAGGAGACAGATATCCCCGGTGCAGAGACACACAGCCCCCTGGTCTCTCAGTTTTAAGATGTGATGGTAAGCAAAGAGCTGCTTGTCAGGAAGAAGAAAGAAAGAGAAAAGAAAGAAAGAAAGAAAGAAAGAAAGAAAGAAAGAAAGAAAGAAAGAAAGAAAGAAAGAAAGAAAGGGGATCTCCTTTAACCCAGCCCAGCCACACTAGCTGTGTGATCTCGCCAAGTCACTCTACCTCTCTGGGCCTCAGGTTCCTCATCAGTCAAGTGCAACATGACTGAAGTACACCCAGTAGGCAAATAACATCATGGTGAAGATAGTGTTTGGTTTAGTGTAAAGTTCTCTGAGAAAGGAGAAATGTCCAGATGCCCTTCACTTTTCTACTGTAGTCCACCCTTCAGGTGTTTTGCTTCCATTCCTCCCACAGTTTGCACAACACACTTGCACAGTGGGTATTATTACACCCACGGCCCGGTGGAGGAAACTGAGGCTAAAAGACAATCCTGGGCCCCAGAGCTGGTAGATCGGCAGAGGCAGGAGTTGAACCCTGGTCCCTGACTCCAGGCCCTGTGCTGTTGTTTCCTGTATGCTAAGCCTTATTTGCAACCAAAGACCCTGATCTGGAGGAAGGAGGTGAACATATGAAGAATGTAAACATTACCCATCAGCCTAAGCTTCTGAAGGAGGGGGATGAAGCCGTGTAGGACGCTGTGGATCCGGTACACTGCTCACAAACAAAGAGAAAGGAACGTGAGCTTTGTGCCCCAGCAAGGGACGCAGGGTCAGCCCTCACCTACCCTCGGACAAAGGCCTACCCCACACAAACAAGGATTAATGGTGGAATTTCAGGCAGCAGGTTAAGCTTAGATAATAGTACCGGAGTTATTAGTATTAAAAACAATGACCTCAAACAGCAATAACAGTGCCAGGAAACTCGGTGGATTCAGTACCCAACTCCACGAACTGCCTTGTTTTCCATATCTGGCTAATTCTGTTTGTTTGCCACTTTAAACTGTTTTTGTTGCATTTTTGTGGAGCTGCCCATTTTTTCCATGAGGTTTTGCCAATGACCTCACATTGACCTTGAAAGTGGTCAGGAAGAAAACACGAGCATAAGGAAATCTTTAAAAAATGTTTAGGTTGTGGCTTTCTGGCCCTTGGTGAGCATCCGTGGCAGTCCAGCCACCACCCTAAAGAGTCTCTGGGGGCTGGGGGGACTTACCCAGCCCAAAGTAGATGCCAACGGTCTCCAGGGAGGCGAAGGTGAGTAGGCCAACCCCAAGGGACATGAACCAGTCTGCAAGGGCAGCGAGGAAGAGAATGGTCAGCCTGCAGGTCTGGTCCCTCCTATCCCCCCACCCTGTCCCTGTTCCCATGGCCCTCACCTGCATAATAGTGATAACACACCAGCAAGGTCCCAATGGCAAAGCAGAGCAGGACAAAATGGAAAAACTCATCTGTAAAGGCAGAGGTGGATATTACTATTTGCTTCTTTCTCTTTCTCTTTTTTATAGTTACTAAAAGTATTCTTGTCTCTGCTCCAAAGTGACTTTAGTCAGAGATGTGGCTCCTGACCAGCCCAACTAAAACAGCACCCCAAATCCCACTCCTTTCCAGGCTTTATCTCATTTTATTATTTTTCTAACACTGACACCACTCAACTTGTTATATTTTTATTTCCACACTTATTCTCAAAAAAAAAAAAA